TACACAGGTCTCACACATCCTGATCGGAAGTTTATTAAATATTGGAGGACCCCGAAATTTTTCCAAAAGATTACAAAGATACATTGCACAATGTTCCTATGTGTGCAAAGAATCGGTGTAGATGATGATGTATCATCTAACCCGCGTTTGTACCGAAGTTGACCAGATTTAGACATGACGATACGAGTAACTCGTCGGTATCTAAAGGAGATTGCAGAGATTTTCATATTTAATTTACTCTAGGAGGTAATTGATATAAGTTTGAAAAATATGACTTACCAATGCTTGAAGACTAATATAGTAAGTTTTGGTTTGATTCGTTTTTTCCTTTTCATCGCAACCTAGGGAATGGATAAAATAAAGTCTGATAACATATTGTTGCATGGAGACTAACATAATGGGTTATATCTGGGGAAGAAACTATGATGGTGATATTGCTGCCTGGAAACTGATGCAACGATTTATGTCGCAAAAGCGAGTTTGATAATAAAATTTCTGCATGAAGAGTGATGCAATTGAAGAGGTTCGATAATGATATTTCTGCATGGAGACTAACAAAATGGTTTGAATTGCAGATTTCACACATTGCTGCATGGAGCCTGACACAATGAGCTAGATCGTGAAGAAAGAACATATTGTTGCATGGAGACTAACACAATAAGTTATATATAGAAAATTCACACATTATTGCATAGAGACTGGCACAACAGGTGAAGTTGTTGACTTTGCAACATTGCTGCCTGGGGTCTGACACAACGAGCTAAGAAAGAAACATATTGCTGCGTGGAGACTGACGCAAAAAGTCAAATGTAGAAAAATCACACATTGTTGCGTAGAGACTGACACAATGGATGGAATTTCTAATTTCACAACATTGCTGCTGGAGTCTGACATAATGAGCTAGATTACAAAGGGATAACATATCGCCGTGTGGAGACTGACACCATATGTAGAATAATTCACATATTGTCGCTTGGAGACTGACACAACATGTTTGAATGAAAATGAAGTTATTTTGAGTGACCCATATCTTAGTTAACTAAAACTGAGATGAGAACAAATTTTGCTGGTTATTTGCTTCTAACTGAGGTAAGAATTGATTGGAGGGCCCTTAAGATACTGGCTTTGTTCGTAGTGGGTTTTGAGGAATGCCATATGTGATGTATGACGTGTAATGATTGATTGATGTATGTGATGTGATGATTGATTGATGTACGTGGTGAATGACTTGGATAATGTGTGAATGGATGCTTGGATTTTGAAATGCGAATGCATATGATTGAGCGTACGTCTTAAATATATATATATATATATATATATATATATATATATATATATATATATATATATATATATATATATATATATATATATATATATATATATATATATATATATATATATATATATATATATATATATATATATATATATATATATATATATATATATATATATATATATATATATATATATATATATATATACATATCAGTGAAAACTATGTATATATATATCCTAAATGTTATGGAAATGCTTTTGTATTCTCCTTTTTAATCCATTGGTTTTGAGCTGCCAACCACATTTGTGACGTCGTGGCATTTTTGAATTTTGATTTAAACATAGATCTTACTGTTTGTGGCATGGGCGCAAATCTAGGTATGGATGTAGACATGGACGTTGTCAGCGTGAATATTGACATAGTCGTAGATGTAAACATGGCTACTCCATTAATGTTCTTACAACCAAAATATTTTTCGATGTTTCGTCGAATGCTTTTATCGGTATGTCAATTCCCTAACATGATTTCAAAACAATATTCACAAAAAATAATTGCAGTAATTTGCAAACAAGTCTAAAAAGAAAAAAAAACACCGATGTCTAACTTCCTGGCATACCATTATACAAAGCTAGCAGTAAGAGACCTTAACTTCTGAGGCCATTCGTACCTTGTCAGACTTGGGATTAAGTAATCCTCCTTGTAAATGTGAGTCATAAACCAGGAGTATAGTAATGGAATACAACAATTCAAAGTACCTCTCTTATTCTCATACCGTGTGTGAATGGCATAGTAGATATTAATAAGTAGAGCTGGAGTGGGGTCTGTATTTAAAGCTTTTGAACCCCAGAACACACTGATGGCTGCAGGTTTAATATAATCTACAGTGCACCGAAATAAGACAACACCAAATATAAGCAACCCAAGACATTTGACACAAGATTCCCATTCCTTGTTATTTTCCAAATCAAGAGCTTTACTCTCCAAATAACACCTTTTAATCCCTCGCACTTCTCCTTCCTTCTTATAATTCAGAGCAAACTCAGGATAAGGGATTCCCAGACCTTCGGTCAGTATCTTAATATTAATGGTTTTCCTAATACCTGTATAAACCTTCTCTTTGGATAAGTTCAGAATTCTATCCAGTTCCTCTAAGGTCAGGGATAACTGGAAATTTTGAAATGTGAAGCATCTCAGTGGAGGATCATAGAGTAGAAATGGTGTCCAACTGTATTTCGACTTTAATTAAGTCTAAGATATCCCCATAACGACGAGTAAATGTTTTCATGGCCCTTTCAGGCAATCTTTCCTTTACAACTTTTATTTGAGTTACATTTGGTTTAGTAGCATTGATACGAACGAGCAGTTTTCCTTTGGTATTCATTTTCAGATACTCACAAAAAACCTTTACTCTTTTTTTTACCCTGTGAATAAGACAAGCAAACAATGTATGATGCACATGTGAAATATAGAGATGTATGAACATATGAATAAAATGTTAAATGACGGGATTTAGTAACCCTTAGAAGGTAGGCTCTAGCTTGGTTTTACGAATACCCTACCCTCCCCATAAGGTGATTTCCTTAAGGTGTCATGAATAACACTAGAGGGAAAGGCGCAAGGGCCTCCCTTAAGCGAAGACTCTTTGCAGACCGAAACTTTCGTCTCTAGGTCGGAAAGGTCTCATCATGAGATTTTAGTTTTAGGTTATACAAAGAGCCATAGGCGTCATTCCAAAATCCTACTTCCCAAGAGGATGTCTCTTGAGACGTATTTCTTTTGCGGAATTCCACCGACTCTAGGCGAAGTCGTCACATAAACTCATATACATGATGTATCCCCTTGGCTAATAGACAAACCTTCTTTCTAAGGTTTATTTAAAAATATTTTATAAAAATTTAAAATCCCGCCACAAACATAAAAATATAAAAAGTAAAAAGGTAAGAAAATAAATAAAATAAGATAAATAAACAATAATTAAACAAATTTAAAAACCCAAAAACAAGAAACCCTTAAACCCTAAAACTAATGGACAAGGCTTCTAAACCTAGGGTTGATTCCCCAGCAGAGTCGCCAGCTGTTGCAACTGGTTTTTAAATCAGAGTCGGCACCCTTAATTTTTATCCTAAAGGAAAAGAGTATAAAGGAATAACCCTAAAAAAGGTTCAGAGATTCTAGATCTGACTCGGTTCTAGACGAGGGGAAGGTGTTAGACACCCCTTATCTGCCTTGTTCACAAGGATACTAGGTTTAGAAGCGCGTTTTAGGAAATAAGGTTTTAAGTTTTATTAGGGGAAAAAGGGTTTGAATTTTATTTGAAAAGGGGTTTGTTTTTAAATAGTGGGATGATTTAATTTTAATAAGGGGGAAAAGGGTTTATTTTTTTAATTAGTGGGATGATTTAATTTTAATCAGGGGAAAAGGGGTTTGTTTTTTAATTAGTGGGATAATTTTATTTTAATTAGGGGGACTCGCCACGATTTTAATCGTATGCCTACGTATCATCTTAAGAGGAATTAGAGTCCCATTTCGTAGTTCGCGGATGGTTTGTATTTTTTATGGATTACGTAGATATTTTAAATTTCCTCGCACTTAGTTTGAATGTGTAGATAACGGAGATTTTGAACTAAGCGTGAAGTTAATTAAAAACTCTTTGTATTCCTTTTTGAAAATTGATTGTTTGATTTAATTTATTACAAAAATAATTTTACGTTTGTTTGCGTATTTTTTAGACGTATATAACCGAAGAGTCTGATATAGCTCTCTTATCACGTGGCCAGATATTGGCCACGTGTCGCTTACAAATATTATAGTTTAATAAAAATACGAGTTCTAATAGTTGGATATAAAACATTAACCTAAATTATGTCACGAAAATTATTTTTAAGTGCGAGGTTTTAATATGGATAAACAATATATTTAACTAGGTCTAAAATAATTAATCAATTATAAAAATAAAAAAAGTATATATATATATATATATATATATATATATATATATATATATATATATATATATATATATATATATATATATATATATATATATATATATATATATATATATATATATATATATATATGTGTGTGTGTGTGTGTGTGTGTGTGTGTGTGTGTGTGTGTGTGCGCGTGTGTGTGTGTGTGTGTGTGTGTGTGTGTGTGTGTGTGTGTGTGTGTGTGTGTGTGTGTGTGTGTGTGTGTGTGTGTGTGTGTGTGTGTGTGTGTGTGTGTATGTGTGTGTGCGTGTGTGGGTGCGTGCGTGCGTGCGTGCGTGCGTGCGTGCGTGTGTGTGTGTGTTATTATAATTGTTAAAGTAATAAAACAAGAATAAATAAATATATAATTAAATAAATTAATATAGAATTAAATTTATATAAAGAAAATAAATAAAAAAACATAATTAGTGAGGGGGGGGGGGGTTGCGGTTTATGTTATAGTAGTAAAATGAAGGGGTGTGTATAGCAGGGGGTGCAAAATTCTCTATATGTTAGTAAAATAAAAAAAGGTAGGGTGTTATTAGCTATTTGGGGATTAGAGTATTTTAGGAAAACATTTAATGTGTCTGCAATTATGTGTCACGAATTTAAACTGATTTCCCTTTTTGTGTTGATTTGTTTTAAGTCTATTTCTGTAATTAGAGGAAAACAAAGTTTTTCAAACTGTTTCTACATTTAGCCGATCTTGTCCTGATTGTGTTCATGCATTCATTGATTCTTGTTTAATGAGTATTGATTCAGGTGCAAATGTTATGATCCTGTGCTTTGATTCATCGAGTATGCTCTGTTCTGAATTATAGCACATTTTCAAATTGTGAATTAATTAAGTTCTTCTTTTTGTTTGATACTTTTCTTTTAATTCTGATATGAAAGGGATATCTATTTTGATAAGTCGTGCACTGATTTATTCATTGCAAACTGTGTTTTACTGGTTTGTGAAACTAACCGGTTCATTGAACTTGTTTTCTTTGGTGACATTTAGGGTACTGGTTTCCGTCACCTGTGGAATGGGAAACTGAAGCGATGCAAGCTGAGTTGAACAACTTTGGTATGGTTCTGAAACTGGTTCTTCTTTGTAGCTAATCTTCTATGTTTGCTTCGACATGACTTATTTAGTAGGCTGTACTTCGTATATATGAATGATTCCGCATTGATATATATGTTTATGTTTGGATTTCATGCAGGTCAAGAATTTAACTTGAATTCTCTGAACAAAAGATTAGAATCATGGAGAAGGAAGATGAAGAAGTGTGAGGCATGCGTAGTGGGCTAGGGTTAGGATAGTTGCTTTGTTTATTTTTTTATGTAATGTCTCCATGTCCTAAACTCATTTGTAAAAGTGACTATGTACTCTTGATACATTTATGTAACGGTATTGATGTAAATGGCAATGATGGTTTGAACTTGAAATGTCTTTGTCCAATGTTAACCTCATATGAATGTATTGATTCTTTCCATCTTTTGTTAATTCTTGAACTCAATGGTAGAATCCCAAATACTCAAAGCAGACTTCTCTTCCAAATTGTAATTCCCTCTTTTTGCTTTTGAACGAACCATGAACATGTCTTGATAAGGTCTAATTGAACTTGATACGATGATGTTGAATCGGACCTAAATGAATTTAATAGACAATATCTTCACGGAACTTTGAATAATATTGAACGAATGTTGCTTGAAGTTTTTTTTAGAAGAATGAATCTTGATGAAATCCTTTGAATAATATCTTGATCTTTTCATGATTTTCATAAGAAAATAGACTTAAACCAAAGTTTAAACCATATTTTTCTTTTAAAGAAACCTAAATCCCAAGTTCCACTTAAAAAAATATCCTAAGAAATTGAGAGAGTATAGTCATGTCATGATTACAATGAATCCATCATTTCTTGTACCATGTCTTAACTTAAAACAATCTCAATTGAAAACAAATATTGAAACCCTAGTGATATCTCCCTTGATGAAAATGACAACTTTGTAACTTTATGAAATAAAAGATCCACAATAACCATGAATCAAACTCTGATTTCACAATCCAATGTTTATCAGGATTTTTGTTGTAGAAGTCTTCAAATCATATGAAACCCTAGCTTTATTGATTCCCTGATCCCACGCCAAGTTTATTTATTAATGATGCATGATGTGTTTAGATGACCCAATGGAGGGTAGGTCAAATTTGGGGTATGACAACTGCCCCTATTTAATCATCTTTCGACTAGAAGGTGCAAGAATATGCAGGTCTCGCGTGTTCTGATCGAAAGTTTATTAAATATTGGAGGACACCGAATTTTGTCCGAAAGATTACAAAGATACATTGCACAACGTTCCTATGTGTGCGAAGAATCGGTGTAGATGATGATGTATCATCTAACCCGCGTTTGTACCGAAGTTGACCTGATTTAGACATGACGAAACGAGTAACTCGTTGGTATCTAAAGGAGATTGCAGAAATTTGCATATTTAATGTACTCTAGGAGGTAATTGATATAAGTTTGAAAAAGATGACTTACCAATGCTTGGAGACTAATATAGTAAGTTTTGGTTTGATTTGTTTTTGCCTTTTCATCACAACCTAGGGGATGGATAAAACAAAGTCTGATAACACATCATTGCATAGAGACTAATGCAATGGGTTATATCTAGGGAAGAAACTATGATGGTGATATTGCTGCCTGGAGACTGATGCAACAGATTATGTCGCAAAAGCGAGTTTGATAATAAAATTGCTGCATGGAGACTGATGCAATGGAAAAGGTTCGATAATGAAATTTCTGCATGGAGACTAACAAAATGGTTTAAATTGCAGATTTCACACATTGCTGCATGGAGCCTGACACAATGAGCTAGATCGTGAAGAAAGAACATATTGTTGCATGGAGACTGACACAATAAGTTATATGTAGATAATTCACACATTGTTGCATAGAGACTGACACAACGGGTGAAGTTGTTGACTTCGCAACATTGCTGCCTGGGGTCTGACACAACGAGCTAAGAAAGAAACATATTGCTGCGTGGAGACTGACGCAACAAGTCAAATGTAGAAAAATCACACATTGTTGCATAGAGACTGACACAATGGGTGGAATTGCTAATTTCACAACATTGCTTCCTGGAGTCTGATACAGTGAGCTAGATTGCAAAGGGATAACATGTCGCTGCATGGAGACTGACACCATATGTAGAATAATTCACATATTGTTTCTTGGAGACTGACACAACATGTTTGAATGAAAATTAAGTTATTTTGAGTGACCCATATCTTAGTTAACTAAAACTGAGATGAGAATGGATTTTGCTGGTTATTTGCTTCTAACCGAGGTAAGAATTAATTGGAGGGCCCTTAAGATAGTGGCTTTGTATGTAGTGGGTTTCGAGGAATTCCATATGTGATGTATGACGTGTAATGATTGATTGATGTATGTGATATGATGTGATGATTGATTGATGTATGTGGTGAATGACTTGGATAATGTGTGAATGGAAGCTCGGATTTTGAAATGTGAATGCGTATGATTGGTTTTGAGTTGCCAACCCCATTTGCGACGTCGTGGCATTTTTGAATTTTGATTTAAACATAGATCTTACTGTTTGTGGCATGGGCGCAAATCTAGATATGGATGTAGACATGGAAGTTGTTGGCGTGAATATTGACATAGTCGCAGATGTAAACATGGCTATTCCTTTAATGTTCTTACAACCAAAATATTTTTTGATGTTTCATCGAATGCTTTTATCGGTATGTCAATTCCCCACCATGATTTCAAAACAATATTCACAAAAAATAATTACAGTAATTTGCAAACAAGTCTAAAATGAAAAAAAACACCATTGAAATATTTGAAGAAGACTTCAATGTTTTTATTGATAAACATGCCTCTGAATAAGCGAGTATACAAGATGTAATCCCTAAAAAGAGGTAATTATAGAAAGTTTTGATAAAAAGCTGTAAATGGCAATAAAAATGATGGTTGCTACTGCTATATCCCCAATGTTCTCTTGATAGCTCCAATCTTCTTTGCTTTTGAGTTGGATGATTTAGACCAATTCCTCCCTTCGTGGTTCGTAAACGTGGTTCGTAGATCGCAATCTTTTTGTTCTTTATTTTTTTGAATGAAATCCATAACTTTTGTCTGGATCGCCCTTTCGGGTTTTCAATCCACCAGGATAATTTATTTTTATGTCCCTAATTTTTTGCCTGGACCTCCCTTTTAGGGTTTTCAATCCACTGGGACACTCCTTTTTGCCTAAATCAACTTTTTAGGGGTCGAACTTAGCGAGCTTTATTATACATAGTATTTTTTGACTGCGTCTATATTTACCGGATGCGGTAACTCTTCCCCATCCATTGTTGTGAGGATCAGACCACCACCGGAGAATTTCGTTTTTACCATAAATGGACCCTCGTAATTGGGTGTCCATTTACCATGTGAATCAAGGCGGGGTAGCAGAATCTTTTTGAGTACTAAGTCCCCTTCTTTAAATACACAAGGACGGACCTTCTTGTCGAAGGCTTTCTTCATCCATTTTTGATATGATTGACCATGGCACACAACTGTCAAGCGTTTTTCTTCAATGAGGTTGACCTGATCAAGCCATGTTTGAACCCACTCGACTTATTCGAGCTTAGTTTCCATTAGCGCTCGGAGTGATGGAATTTCTATCTCGACTAGGAGTACCGCCTCCACGCCGTATACTAGTGAAAAAGGAGTTGCACCTGTTGACGTACGTATAGATGTACAATAGCCATGTAAAGCAAAAGGAAGCATTTCGTGCCAATCTTTATATGTCTTCACCATCTTCTGAATGATTTTCTTGATATTCTTGTTCGTAGCTTCGACGGCCCCATTCATCTTGGGTCGATACGGTGAGGAATTATGATGCTCGATCTTAAAATTTTCGCACAATTCTTTCATCATTTTTTATTTAAATTAGACCCATTATCAGTTATGATCTTGTTTGGAACTCCATATCTGCATATGAGATTTTACTTGATGAAACGAGTGACCTTTTGGCTTGTCACATTTGCGTATAATGCTGCTTCTACCCATTTGTGATCTTGGAATTTTTGGAAAGCTCAAGATGTCCTCTATAATTTCTCTTTTTATAATTTTTGCATTTGGAGACTTTATCTTGATGTAAGTTGCCTTGACAAAAAGTGTGTTTTTGTTGACTTTTGGAATGACCTGTAATGTATTGACTCATATCTCTCAAATGAAGCATTTTTTGGACTTGAGCATAGAGATACGAAGTTGTAGAGAATTGAATTTACTTCAAAATGGGATTTGGTTTTTGAAAAGTTTATGAAGCATGTGAACGTTATGCCTGGTCAAAGTTCAGTTGACTTCTCCTAAGGAAACCCTAATTTGGTAACTTCAGGCTTTTGATGATTTGAGGGCTTCTCTTGAGGAATCATGATCAACCCTTGATCAAATGATGAATATTACTCCAAAATGTTGACGTTCACCAAAAATCTTGAAGTTTGACTGTATATTGACCATATTTGGCTTTTTACCCAATACAGTTGATTTTCAATCATCTGAGCTATTGGCTGAGCAAACTTATGATGCAAGGCTTGAAACTTGACATGAGAATTGTTGAAGACCTATGGAGAACCATGGAATCCACTTGATACCTTTGAAACCAAAACTTTCTTGAAAAACACAAAACCCTAGTTTTGGACCCATTGCTTAGGAGGAAAATTTGTCTGATCAATTCTTGGGCCACCTTGAGCAAATGAGGACCTCATGAGAATGTCTTGAAGAAAAATGGAAGGGAAAATTATGGGGTACAACAACTGCCCATGATTAATATTCTTAAACTTGAGGAGTTAGATTGGCACGTCCTCCATTCGTGACTTGAAGGTAGAAGATTATTGAACACTGAAGTGCCCAGAAATGTGCACTAGCCTGTGCATAAAGTAACACTGTTGGTTGACTATACCGAGAATAGGCTTAAAGATACCATTTGGAGAGGTGACGGAGAATAACCGGAGATGGGATTACAGATGCCATACAGAGTAATTGTTGATAGGAATATCATAATAAGTCTACGTCTGTCTCTGTCTTATATGATGCATTTGGAATGAGTCTACATCCGACTTTGTCCAAAAGAGTATCAGAAAGAAATCTACGCTTAATTTCATCTGAACCAGAAGATGTCTATGCCCGACTTCAACTAGAAAAGGTAGCGGAAAGAGTCTACGCCTGACTTTTTCCAAAAGGAATATTAGAAATAAATCTACACTTAATTTCATCCGAACCGAAAGATGTCTACGCC